CAAATTGGACTTATAAACAAGCTCTTTCCATAATGATATACGTAATATGATGCATGCACTTGCTAAAAATTCATCTTATCGACCCAAAAGAAGAGGGTCCAAAATGTCCTAAAGTGAAGAGGGTCCTAAAGTGCCAACCCCAACCACGCAAGACAAAATCTAAGACTCCAGAGAAAATAGCAGCTCCGTCGTCGCCACCTCCATCGCCGCCTTCTTTTTCCATAGCCACCACCACCTTCCCCACCCATTTCACCTTCTTCTTCAACATTATCCCCAACCAATCTCCACCTCCATTTTCTTGATTTGTCTCTATGTTACACAGAAATTCTTTGTTTTTTCTTCACACTCGGAAATCGGGAGGAATAGAATCTGTCGAAATTTGGGGCCTTCAATCGACCAAACCGAGCTCAGATTAAACCACAATCAAACACCACAAGAACACACTGAACTCTCCAATCCGACCACCACCCATCCACCGGTTGGTCCAGCCTTCTACAGCCCACAAAGGACTCGGTGTGAAGAGTATGGCAGCCCCAAGAGACAGCCACAAAGGTTAGAGAAGAGAGCAAGCACAAAGCAAGACCCAAGAGCACAAAGCACGGTCCTTCCCTCTTTTTCACGGCTCCATTTCTCCCACACACTCACACACTAGAAACCGGGTANGGTTCGGCTTTTAGGTTAAACAAGTAGAGGCCCAATAAGTTCAACAAACGAGTGGGCTATCAACTAAAAGCCTTCCAAGGTAATGGGTCGAGCCATGAGTAACACTAAACAAATTAGACTACTTCAAATGACACACTTAGGGTGTCGGGATGGTACGTTCATTGTGGTGTAGACATTCCACTTCAATCATCGGTCGATGCCTATGAAGGCTAATCCAACATAAACGGTTTAATATCATCGCTCGGATTTATTGGGTATCAAAAACCCAACAGAATCAATTCTCACTGATCTTCGTTGTCTATGTTTAATTCTACACCGTTTACATGTTGACGGAGCCAGAAATTGGGTGGTTTTCGAGAGCATTGTTGTCGCATCTACACTGCCGCAATGGCAACAACCCTGTTGCCAACTTGTACACGGCTAATACCGGATGTTCACTACCCCACATGAACAACAGCAACACACATCAGCGTACATCGAGAATTCCTCAAGCTACGCTTTGAAAGAAACTATATCACCCTATTGAAAATGTGAATTATTGAGAATTCAAGCTAATCTAAACTTTCGAAAATTTCTGTTTTTTTTTTTTTTTTGAGTAAAAATGGACATGGATTCGACTATGACCACCGAAGTTGATAACGATCCATCGGATCGCCCACCTCTGGTTCGGACTAGCCCACGATGAGTTTTTGTAGTTTGCCGTGGGCATTTCTTGAATTTTTCTATGGAGGGTGTCGGCATGGTAGTGGGGAGAGGGAGTTGTGGCGGTGGTGATAATGGTCAAAGGTGATGTGGTGGTTGGGTAATAGTGTCTCGCCGGAGACGAAGAAAAAAAGAGGTTTTGATTTTGGGGTGGTTATTTATTTATATTTGTTTTTTAATTTAATTAAGTAACTTGTTTAATATTTAAAAAAATGTAAAGTACTATTTTGCTCTTTTAATTTGGTCAAAATTGATAAAAATTTTCATTTTTTGGTCAATGAACAGAAAAATGGATGGTTTCCGTCAAGATGGAGGCATATTTTTGAAACGTCAGGAACTTCATCTTACACAAATTGAAGATTAAGGCAAAAACTGCAAAAATTAAAAAGGTTCAAGTATGGCGGCTAGAAATTTCCTTATAATTAATTAGGAATTGAACACAGTTAAATGTCGGGAATCTGTGGATACGAAATATTAACTAAGGCAGGCGAAAGGGTACGAACAAGTTTGTCTTCGAGGTTGCATGGAAGGAAGGAATGGTAGACCCACTCCATTGTCTTTTACACGTGATTTTCTGATTCTAAAACCCTAAAAAGCCTCTTAAATTCTTGTCTGGGTGTACTTCATCTAACACTTTAAATGAGTGGAGTCATGTCTTTACAGATCAATTGATCAACCACACATTTATTTAAAATAATTTTCTTACTAAGCTATTTTATTTAAAAATTCAATCATGTTTGGTATACGCCAAAGTTTGACAGTTTGTCACGTGATAAATTGTTTTTTGCCAATTAAAAAAAAATCAATTTTTTCATCTACAATTTTCTAAAAACAAAAGCAATGTCAAACTTGCTATATAGCAAAATCCTTAAAAAAAAAAAAACATTATAGGTGTGTAGATTTAATAAATAGGTGACAGAGATTTGATTCATAATGTCTAGTACTTATTTAGTCGCAATTTGACAATGTTGTTTGAAATTTAAAAAATAGTGGGTTCTATAAACTGTGTGGAAAAAAAATTTCGAGTTCAATGAGATGTATCGTTAAAAATAAAGTTTGACTAGTTTTAATCTCAAAAAGTTATCAAACATGATATTAATAATGTTAATCCCCTGGTCTAGAAGTTTTAGAGAAAAATGCTTAATTTTATTTTAGTTATTTTTTCCCATTTTTCTGTTGACGTAGGAACCCACAACTACTACTCACCAGCGGAGCCACAATCACCCCAAAGGGGCGGAGGTCTGACCATTGTAAGTACGCACTAAGTAAACTCCGTTTCATGTACAGTAGTCTGCAAGCCACACAAGAGAAGTAAATCGAGCTAAGCAAGCCCGGTGCAACGGGCTCGACTAAGAAAGTGTTAATAGGGGATTCGAACTCGTGGTCTTCGTGTTCACCTACTTCACTAACTTGACCATCCTTGAAATGGCTATTTTTTTTCCATTTTCATTGCCATATTGATGGAAATTACTCATTGACCAGATTCTTATAATTTAGTCAATTATTGGATTTAAAAATAGTTAAAATAAGTTGAAAAGTAGATGAAGGAAATCTTGTCTTTAGCCATAAAAAAGATGTTTTGACAATATAAGATAAACATACGTCACATGAAATAAGATGGCATTGACAAGTAAAACTCTATAACTATCCGCTACATGAACAAGGTCACTAATAGGTCTTTTTACGAGGAAGACACTTGCCGTTATCTTATTAGTCAGTTAGAATAAAAAATTCATACATGTGCTGTCAACGTAGCATATGACAAAAGCCCCTGTCAATTAACACTGTGCAAGCAGTATTATTGACTCTATAATTAGAAGAAAAACAGGAGCTCAGATTGGGACATCATCCCAACATAAGGAGATTTATTAGATTGCCTAAAATACATTTATTAATTTCCCGGGAAAAAAAAAATAATTAAAAACCCTTAGAAATCCATTTGCTACGGCTATGGGATTAAGACAATATATGGGGTTTTTTCGACAAATTTTTTGAAAAAAGTTTTAGCATATTTTAATAAAAATTAATGAAGAGTTCGTTTGACATCGCTTTTAAAAAGTCAAAAGGAAATTTTGATGTCATAAAGTTGCTTTTGAACTCATTTGGCTAATTTTATAAAAGTTTTTCTTCTAGTTAAAAGAATTTTTTAAAAATCATTTTCTTTCAATATCTCTTCTACATGAAAGTAAAAGTTATGTCAAACGACTTGAAATCTATGATTGAAAAATTGTAAGTCTATGAAATATGATTAAAATTATATGTTCGACTACAACCACAACTTTTTACTACTAAAATTATCGTGAACAAGCACACAGTCAAGTGGAGATTCCACTATACTATGATTAATATTTGAAAATTTGTTTTATTTGCCGACCACGGCAATGCTTTTATGGACGAGGATGCATATCGTTCTAGGATTTCAATTTTGCCTCGAGGGATTCATAGTTCATAATTGTATTTTGACTTTCTATACAACTAGGTAGATATGATTAAGTTGTCACACTTGTTTAGCTGGATTATTAATCAATTAATGGCGTGGGTTAACACAAATAATGTTAAACATTAGTCTATATAACAATAACTAATAATTGATTAAAAGAAATAAAATTTTTTTTAATTGATTGTAATAGGTCCATAGCCATATAAACGAGTGCTAAATAACATCACTTATTTAATACTTCGATTGTATTATATCATTTTTTTTGTTTGTCAGTCAAGTTCAATTCAGAGTATTGAACAAATCCCTCTGAGTCATAGTTCAGTAGTGCAAATAACATGAGTGAGGTAGTCTTAGCTGAATTGGCAGCCACAGTATGATTGGTCGATTCCTACCTCTTACAAGGTATGAAATTGAACTCTTTGTGAGTATCAGTATAACAGCTCTTGTACCCTGGCCTGTTGAGGCACATCCCGCGATTTACTTCCTCCACAATACTCTAAAGTCGGGACGGTAGGAGACCCTCAAGGTTGGGGTTCAAGCTTTTTTTTAGAGTATTGAACAACATCATTTATTTCGTTGTATTATAGATGTGAGTCTACCACAAAATTTAATAAATGGTGTATTTTTGGCCAAGCTTAAAGAAAATACATACAAGTAAATTTATTTTAAGTAAATGAGTAAAGTTTTTAAAATAAATATTTATCTTGTTAGAGATAGAACTAAGAAAATTGCTTTTAGTAAAAGTAAGTCTTACCTTCTTATCAAAATATTAGTTATTTTTTAGCTCTCTTTTGATTTTTTTTTAATGAAAAGGGGAATAATATTTTCAAATATATGTGAAAACAAAGATGCTCCGAAAGAAGACAGAAAACATTTAATATCATGAAAATCTGATGTGCAAGACATCCATCCGTGGCAAAATTTGACATGAACATATAGACATAACACATGCCAAGCCATGTACATATAGACATAAGACGTGTACATGTGATGTATATACACGTCTTATGTCTATATGTACACATGCATGCATGTATAAATACATAAATCTTGTACTAATAGATACATGTTTTTTCATTCAACAGTACATGGTATACAAAGTACTACTACAAAATTATCGACCACTATATGTACCTGGTTCTTCCACCATACCACATTAAGACTGTATGTGCCAGATTAAAAACAGTGATGATCATCACACGGTTTTGCTACAATCAGCTTTACCAAACCCAACTTGACGATTGGTCATATCAAATTCCACCCATAGATTTTGTTGATGAAAATTACCTATGATGTTACTTGCAACTCCAAGGGATTCGGATCGTCCAAGACCTACACAGTGGATCCCACCTTCTACGTGATCTAATATTCTCTCCTTGTTGATTAATATTTCTACACCCTTTTCGAATTGGAAAGTCAGGTCACCTATTAACCGTCCGATTTCGATTGGGTTGCCATCAAAGCACATGTCCAATGAACCTCCATACACGTACCCTTTCTTCAATTTTGGACCTACTAATCTCGCTACTTCTTCCCTTACCTTAGAGTAAGCCGCGTCCACTAGAAATGTGTATTGGGTTCCAGAATCGATCATTGTCTGACCGGAACCGCCTGCATCTGGCCGGAAAACCGATTCGGAGATGTCCAGTTTTTTCCCACCAACTTTTATCCCTAGTAGAGCAACGGTGAAGGCTAGGGGATCGAGATTGGGCTTGCGTTGACTTTGAGGGAAAGTCAAAAGACCGATATATTGAAATGTATGTGAGTTGGGATTTTGGCCAAGATAAAATGTTCCTGTGGGCATTGTTTGGACGCGGCCCTGTCTTACTGGCACACAATAAGAAAATTTTGATATCTTAGCTTGGGAGATAAACGACAAACGTCCAAGATTCATCCCCAAAATACCCTCCGCCTCGGCGGATTCCGTTGCACATCCAAGAATCAGCGGAGGTGTACTTTGCGAACTAGAAAATGTAAATTTTTCTCTGACTAGATTGCCCTCAGCCAGTGTCCCATCCGCATAGAAGTAAGAATAGTGGCACAACCGGTTCTGGTCACAGGAAGTTGGGATGGTAAAATCGGGAATTCGCGGCTTGCAGATGGGGTGGTTACAAGGTAGAACAGAGAAAGAAGATGAAAGAGAAGGATCAAACGACGTCGTGGGAGGTGGAGGTGGCCTTTTAGGTAACTTCCTGTGGCATTGAATCCATGAAAGTTGACTGCCAGTATCCAAAACCATTTGTTGAGTCTGAGGTGGGGTCCCAATCGGGAGTGAAACAATCAGAGCCATTGAATACTTGAATGATGATTTGTAGTTGTATGACGATGGCCCTGGAACTGCCTTCTGCACCAGTGCTTTACGAGGATGAGATGAAAAAAGAGAAGCCCTTAAAATTGCTTTATAAGAAGAGTTTTTCGATAGAGGGGCTGAGGTTAAAGGAAAAGAGAAAGAAACAGCGTTTTCTTGGACTGTTATTCGCATAAAGTTACACAAAATGAGCAAAACAAACAAGAAAAACTTGCACAAGTACTCCATAGCCATAACCAAAGAATTTTTACACAGAGATTTTGGAAGAGAGAGGAGGGTGGGATGTGGAGGAGAATGGTGTGAGTTTGCTTGGTATTTATATGGGATTTGAATAGAACAACACAAGGCCGAAAAAAGAAAAGGTGGAACGCGGTTTCTAACTTACATCCAGTGATACGAGTTAGCTACACACTGTACTGTAGTCAAACCTACTCGAATCCTCACACTTAACTATTTTTGAATTTTTCTACTTTTCGTGGGATTTAGGGTTGATTATAATTGGAAGAGATGTCTGAGTGGATGACAGCTAGTAGCTTATATTTCACAGACAAAAACGTGTTTTCTTTCAAAATTCTTTTTCGTTTTTGTTTCAGGTTTTTTTTTTCCGCTAATTGGATTGGTAAGTGATTATATATCTCTAGACATGCATGTTATTTGTAATCAAATATCACGGAACTCAAGATTTTATTTATTCTGATAAATAATGTATATAAATTTAAATTGTTAAGAAGACGACTCCTTTATTCTCTCTTTTTCATCATATAATTTGATGTGCACTTTTTATTGGNAAATATATATATATATATATATGTAAATATGTTTAAAACAATTTCTTATTATAAAAAATAGCTGTTTAAAATACTTTTTGAGTTTCGAGCACTCTTTCCTTCGAATGAATCTACATTTATCGAGTTCCGATGCTCTTTATGATAAGAGGTCGTTGTCATTGATCCAATAAATTAAGCTATGTTCATAAATTGTAAAGTATTTAAACAAGAAAATTAATGGGAGGTTGGCAATCAAATAAAAGACTTTCTTGCTTTTCACTTTTTCTTGCTTATTTAGGAATTAAAAGTGGATTAATTGTAACAAAGCATCAAAGTTGAAATTAACATATTCTTAGGAATACACAGATGTCCATAAAACAATAGATTCTTCCACGACTGTTCATATTGCCTTTCGATTAGGTGGTAATCGAAACGTGTGGGACCAACAGAGGTAGGGGTGGGTGTCCATATGTTTTAATCATACTGCAAATTTGATTATAGAATAAGTTGATGCACTCAATTTGGCACAAATTCCACAAAATCTATGTCCTAAAAGAAGTATTCCACACGATCCATTAACAAGAATTTGGCCATTTTGCACGCTTCCATCACTTAGCTGCCTATTTTAATTCAAATTTTTTGTTGCATTATTAAGTTTTCATATCTTTTATTAAAGAACTTTGCACTTTCGTCCTCAACCTTTACGAAATATAACAAATCTATCATCAATATTTTCTCAGAACAATCCATTCCAACATTTCAATTATGTGGCAAAACTTGCCATTTTCTTCACTTTTGCCATTAAATGATTAATATACCCTATAGAGATTTAATTTTTTTTTTTTGTAAAACAATAAAAGAAAAATAAGAAAAAACTACAATTGTGGAATCCCATAACTTTTTCGAAAGAACAAATACTCACCTTAAATAATTAAATATATATTAACACATAAAAACAAAAAAAAACAAAGAACTTATCCAACCAAGCTCACCCACCCCAGACAAAGAATTTGTCTTCATCAAATTTCCCTTTTCATTAATGCGGTGATTGGTCATTTACTTCAATTCGAGCATGTATCGAATTTCTTCGTCTTCATAAAAAAAAAATGTAAATAGTGTGTGTTGACCTTGTTTTTTAGGGTCGACATGGCCAACAAATCTCGAATTCTCCTCATGTCCACATAGCTCCTTCTACACACTAAGACAAACCGTTAGAGCACGTAGCCAATCTCCAGTGGTGGTGGAGATGGCCACTGACAGCTAAGTTAGCCTTTGTAAGAATAATATTTGGGTGTTGGACGTGCTTAGACGTGAGTCACTTAAATAAAAAGGGTTCGAATTCGGGGATTATGTATGGAATAAAGAGAAAGTTATATGTTGAGAGCATAAAATTACATTACTTTTGAATGACACAATGTTTGAGCTTTTATGGTAGAGTGAGATAAGTAAGAATCGTTGGATGGAGAGACATGTGGCCTCATGTTAGCATCTGAGGCACCATGTGTCATAGGCATCAATCGATCAGTCCTAGACTCAGGTGCATTTAATGTTATGATCTATTGCAACTCTAGCCTGAACATAGGGGCTAGACTTGACATATTGATTTGGTAAAGTGGTTGTTACACTGTGTTGTCACATCAACCATAAATGGAAGATCTTGTATGGAATATCATCTATAGCGCTTCTACATATCCGCCTAATCCACGGGGGCTCGGTCCTTCATATAGGTTCGGCTTCTCCATAGGGCCTTTTCATGGCAGTTTAGCCAGAATTGCCAAATAGACAGAATGATGTGGAGTATAGGCATAAGTTCACTTACTGTGTGGTTACCTCGTGGCCATATTGGAGCCTCGTTGAAAGAGGTACAGTAACAATAGTCTTCCAAGTTCATATATGAATATTCATATAATGCATGGACTTTTGGGCTGAAGTGTGTTGTCTTGTTCATGCTTCATGTTCTCATAATAACGGTTGAGGCATCTTGTCATAGGCATCAATTGCTCATTCTAGGCTCATGCACATTTAATCTTATGACATTTTGCAACCCTAGACTTGACACGTAGGGACTAGACTTAACATGTTGACCGGTAGAGTGGCTATTGTAGAGTGTTATTACATCAACCCATAAATGGAAGATATCATATGGAAGAACCTCTGCAACGCCTCTACCTGCCTTACCTCATCCATGAGGGCTCGATCTTTCATATGGGTTTGAGAAGCCTTTGATGAGGCTGAATTGAACCTGGGTGAGCCCTTGCGTGAGGAAGAACCCATTGGTGAAGATGTAGTCTTTGATGAGGCTTAATTGAACTTTGGCCAGGCCATTGTATGAGGGAGAGCCCATTGGTGAAGAGGCAGCCTTTATATGAGGTTGAATTGTACTTGGATGAGACCTATGCATAAGGACAAGCCAATTGTTGTAGGGGTAACCCTTTTATGAGGTTGAATTGAAACTGGGTAAGACCCTTATATGAGGACGAGCGGTCGAGCTCGTTAGTAAAGATGCAGCCTTTGATGAGGCTGAATTGAACTTCAATGAGGCCCTTGCATGAAGGAGAACTCGTAAATGAAGAGGTAACTTCTGATAAGGCTTAACTAAACTTGGGTAAGTCCTTTGTATGAGGGTGAACCCATTGGTTAAGAGATAGCCTTTGACGAGGCTGGATTGAACTTGGGTGAGGTCCTTGCATAAGAGAGAGCTCATTGGTGAAGAGACAACCTTTTATAAGGCTGAATTTAACTTAGGCGAGGCTCTTGTATGAGGAAGAGCCTATTGATGAAGATGTAGCCTTTGATGAGACTTAATTGAACGTGGGGCCAAGCCTATGCATGAGAGAGAACCAATTGGTGAAGAGGCATCCTTTGATGAGATTGAATTGAGCTTGGACGAGGCCTTTGCATGAGAGAGAGCCTATTGATGAGGAGGCAGCCTTTGATGATGTTGAATTGAATTTGGATGAGGCCGTTGCATAAAGGAGAGCTGCCCGTTGATTAAGAGATAGCCTCTAATGATGTTGAATTGAACTTGGCCTCGGCCCATGCATGAGGGAAAGACCATTGGTAAAGAATTAGCATTTGAGGAGATTGAATTGAACTTGAACGAGGCCTTTGCATGAGAGAGAGCCTATTGATGAAGATACAGCCTTTGATGACGTTGAATTAAACTTGGACGAGGCTGTTGCATAAGGGAGAGCCCTTTAATGATGCTGAATTGAACTTGGGCGAGGCCCATGCATGAGGGAGAGCTCATTTGTAAAGAAGTAGCCTTTAAGGGCCTTTGCGCATCTTTTTTCGAGTCTGTTCATGTAAGGGATTTTTCGATGGTACTTGATCCATCTATGAAAGGGGTATGTCTCATAGGTTTCAAGGTAGGCCCCATTTGGGTGTATTGCACCTCTCATTCTGAAGCTAATTTACTTCTTTGTAGGGGGTGGCTGTTCCATACAAGTCTTCGTCCGCTGTGTTTGATCTATCCATAGAAAGGATATGCCTCGTAGGTTTCAAGATAGGTCCCATATAGGTGCTTCACACCTTTCATTCTGAGACTTTTTTACTTCTTTGTAGGGGATGACTCTTCCATGCAAATGTTCCCCCCATAGTGTTTCATCCGTCTAGGGTATACCTCTTAGGTTTCAAGGTGGACCCCATTTGGGTTCATCACACTTCTCATTCCGAGGCTTTGTTACTTCTTTGCAGAGGGATGACTCTTTTATGCAAAGACTTCTTCCATGGTGTTTGATCCATCCATGGAAGGGATATGCCTTGTAGGTTTTAAGGTTTACCCGATTTGGGTACATCAAACATCTCATTCCGAGGCCTTTTTACTTTTTTGTAAGGGCAGCTCGTTCGTTCAAAGACTTCTTCCATGATGTTGATCTCTTTTTTGTAGGGATGACGTGGTCCCGAGGCTTCCTTACATCCATGTTGCTCCTCATGCACATTAGGATAAATTGTTAGAGCACGTGACCAATCTCCGATGGTGGTGGAGATGACCACGCACACTCCAAAGGTCAGGTCAGCATTTGTAAGAATTATATTTGGGTGTGGAATATGCTTAAGACTTGAGCTACTTAAATAAAAAGGGTTCGAATTCGGTGTATGGATAAAGAGCCAAAGTTATATGTTGAGAGTATAAACTTGCATTATTTGTGAATGACACAATCTGTGAGCTTTTGTAGTAGAAGTGTATGAGTAAGAAGTGTTGGATGAAGAGACACGTGGACTTATGCTAGAGGCTGAGGCATCTTGTCATAAGTATCAATCGATCAATCCATGCTCAAACACATTTAATGTTATGACATTTTGCATCCCTAGGCCAACACATGTGGGCTAGACTTGACATGTTGACTTGATAGAGTGGTTGTTGAAGTGCGTTGTCACATCAACCGTAAATGGACGATCTCGTAT